CCGCCAGTCCCGCTGCCTTGCTGGATAACCCCTTCATTGTTATGCTGGATAGCCCAGCTTACCCACAGCTGCCAGTGCGCTGGGCTCCTGCTTTGCTGTGATTCACCTGTGATCCCCAAACGCTGGTGAGGAGATTCCCACCCCGCTGACGATCACTTTACATTGTGTGCACGGGAAAGGATTCTTGAAACAAAAGGGTCTCGGATTCTTCTGTGCATTGGGCCCCACAGGGCTCTGCAATCCAGCTACAGACATACCTGCTCCAGGCAGAGCCCTCTTGCATAACTCACTTGTGACATCACCCAGGGAATCTCTCAGCACTCTGTGCTCAGGTGCAACGTCTACCTGCCTGCCTTTTGCTTTCCTTTTCCCTTTCCAAACGCATTCCTTGCTCTCTGGTTGGTGAGAGCAGAGCTGGGTTTTCTGCCACAGACTAAAGCAAAGTGACGTTGCGTGTTCTTTTTCTTAACTGGAAAATGCCTTTTGGTATAAAAGCAAGAGCAATGGAGAGGAAAAGACACATTCAGAGTCAAGAGAGAGGCAAAGCAGCCTTGAGACACGAGAGGCAGCTAAAGCGACAGCCCAGCAAATACACGGCAAGGTAAGAGCAGCTGGCTTGGAGCCAATCCTTACTATGATTTCTCTTTGCTCAGTGACTATATTGTGCTCTGTGGTAGACAGCAAGGAACGACTGTTACACCAGCAACGTGTGTTCTGCCTGAGCATATTACTATTGGCTCTCCAGTGAAAACCAAAACCTCTCTGATTCATGAATGTTTTCCTGCAGAAAATCAGAGTGCAAGTTACTATGATTTCTAGGGTATTTTCTTTTTGTACCGGGAGAATAGTCAAGTGTTTGTGAAAAGTGTTTGGCAACCCCAAAGCCTTCCCAGATGATATTTCACAGAAACACAGTTTCAGAACAGAGCAGTCATCCAGCCAGTTGTTTGTGAAAAGTGTTTGTCAACCCCAAAGCCTTCCCAGATGATATTTCACAGAAAAACGGTTTCAGAACAGAGCAGTCATCAAATAATGGAACAGAAACAATGCCATGTGACTTAGGAAACCAGCCGCCACACGTGTAATGAATATCAAATTGACCAGCCCCCCAGCCAATAGCCTGAAATTATTGGTCAGAACTTTTTGGCAAGTGGCAGAGATATATATTTGCATAATATTTAGCTTTAGTTCACAGTTTGCTTTAAAGAAGGTTAAATGTGTAACACAAGCCATATATTGGAAAATGTTCCCTCCTCCCAATACTAGCTACTTTATTAGCGGCGAGGAGTCCTGTGGCACCTTATAGACTAACTGAAGTGTTGGAGCATAAGCTTTCGTGGGCAATGACCCGCTTCGTCAGATGCACGCTTTTGCAGATTCAGACTAACTCGGCTACCTCTCTGATACTTAGCTACTTTATTGTTTGTCTCTCTTAGGAAGCATGATGGGCGTAGGCTACAGAGTTCTCCTTGTTCTGTCCCTCTGGGTGATGACTGCAGAGGCCTTTCCCAAAGGCGCCCTGAGGACAAAATGCCACCTCGCAAAATACAAGTCCCTGCCACCCCGGGAACTGGAGGCCTTCAAGAAAACCAAGGACAAATTTGTAAGTGTGAAAATGCATAAAGGATCTGCCGACGAAGGGTACTGACAATCAGCTGATCGGCACAGCACGGTGGCCATGTTGATGTAAATGAAGCTGCGATTATTTAAATCGTAGCTTCATTTCCCTTTACCGTCCTGACTAATCTACATGGTTTCGTCGAAGGAGCCATGTAGTTTAGACACACTCATGATGTCTGCATCTCCCCGCCTCACCGCTGGGATTGTGTGGATAGAATTGAGGGACGAACTAGAAGACGTATTCCTGATCCTCCATATATATGGCTCTAAGCTCTCTCCTTTCGCCTCCAGGAGGACATCTTGCTATTGTCCGACCGAAAATGCAACACCAGGATTTTCCACAGGAACTGGGAAGTCAAAGAGTTGTCGGTAAGAAAAATCCCAGCCAAGGGGTAGAAGTTCCCATGGTAGCAAACGCCGCTTTCGTAATGTATCTCCTTTTCTGTCTGATTCTGATCTCACTGAGCCCTCGTACTAATCTGACATGTGGCTCCCTGACCTCTGCCTTCCGGCAGGTCACTCGAAAGTCACTGATCTACCCAGGATCGTGTCAGAGCCGATTGTGGCTCTAACTAAGGGTCACCCCTCCTTTTCAATCCTGGTGTCTTTTCACTGGCTATGAACTGGTGTCAAGACAGAGGTGGGGAGATGAAGCCGTGTTCAGCCAGCAGTGATTTACTGACCAATCAAAGCCCTGAGTGGCTTTGGAAAATCACCTCTTTCAAACTGGTTTACAAATCTACGCCTGAGACTTTCTAGTCCGGGATCTGCCCAGCTGCTTAGTGTTCTCTAACGCACGTGGTCTTACCTACAAGTGTGTCTCCCCAGGTGCACGACAGGGTGATCCTGGTAGAGAAAGAGCTGGACTTCACCATTAACACGTTGGAGGATGTTGAGGACCCCAGTCTATCCAAGCTGCTGCCAAGGCCGCTGGAAATCCTGTCGCAGATCAGAGAGGACTTGAGACGCTGCGTGAGTATTCGGCCAGATTCGACTCCCTTCAAGGGGAACCCACGTGCAGCTGCTTGTTCTTGTCCCATGTTGCTCTTGCTTTGGGCCCGTCCTTACATAGCAAGGGGAATGGGTATGAAATGCACAAGGGTACCCTCTAGACTGTGTCAAGGCACGAATTGCTATGTGCCTAGAGAGAAGGGGCTTTTGTTGATTGTCTGCTGAAATCTCTGTGCACCAACTCTGTATCAATTCTGTTTGCAGACCAGGCAAACGCCTTCTCATTCACACTCCAAGAGGCTGAACAGTTGGCTCCAAAATTTGCAGGCGAGCAAAGAGATGGTGAGTGGGCATTTGAGACAACGCGCAAAGCCAACTTCCACACCAATTAGAGACGGATCCAGCCTCCTGGGTCCCATCCCAGAGGCCACGGCGGCATTGCTGCTGCTTATTCTGCCCGTTATTACCTACCTTGGGATTTATTTTTAAATATTGCAATAAAAATGAGCCTGTAGATCCCGTCAGGTCTGCTGTGCAGTGATGTAACCGACGACGGCAACAGCTAACGTACGGTTTGAATGACGCTGCCGTTTGCATGTGCGTCTGCTTGGGTTACAAAGATCAGCATTCACCTTGCCCTCTCTCCAGTACCTACCCTCTTTCCTCCTCCTCTGAGCGCCCTTATGGATACGCACCTGCCTCCTTATAATACAGCATCCTTGTGGTTGCTTTCATGTAGCCGCCTCCCCCCTTCCTGCTCTAAATATTCTCTCCTTTCCCAGGAATCACCTGCATGTCTGGAAGCTTCTGTGATCCTCAACCTCTTCCGACTGCTGAATGAAGATTTGAGATGCGCCGCCTACACGGAACTTTGCGTGTAGCCGTCTGGTCTCTGTGATACCTTGTGTTCACACCTACTTAGCCACCGGAGCGTCCCTAGACAAGGAGCACTGAATATTCATCCCAAGAAGACATCTCTGAATCAGGAACCTTCATCATCTTATTCTTGCTTCCCACTATACATCCCCGAGCAAACTGATTCCATCCTTACATACCTAAAAAAGTCACACAACAGCTGGTCTCTGCTCCAGCTTGCTCCCGTTTCCAGCTGGTGCAGCATTCTCGACTACTTGACAAATATTCATTGGAGGATTTTTTTTTCATCACAGTTCAAATCTGAGAGTTCGGTAGGATTTGACCCACACAGGATATTATTTATTGAATGCCTTTTTATTGTCACTATGCAAATGGATTTTAGTCAAATGCATATCCAAAAATACTGGGAACATTTCATAAGCTTTCATTTTGTTTTAAATGCACCCCGGTTCTGGGATTTACACACTGTGGTCACAGCTCTTAGCTCTCTCAGAAACAAGCTCAGGAAAATGAATTAATATTGAAGTTTGGCAGTTCTTAATATATTCATCCTCTACAGATGTATTTATACAGAGTATATTTTTATCTTGCTGTTTCTTTATGTATTATGTATTCTTTAAGAAGAGTAATTGATTTGTATAACTTCCAGATATGAACCTAAATGTTATTTATTATGGATAATTTATTAGCTATTTATTTTGATGTATTTCACCATTGCTAAGTTTGTATTTTTTATATATATAATTATGAACAAATAAAATTGTTATCCGGAGAGAGACACCTAAAATAGTCAATGAAAAGTGGAGACAATTCAGTCACGATATAGTTGTAGTGCTTTGCAGCAGTAGATCCCAATGTGATTGTGGCAGATGGGAAACTCGGGCATGAGAAGCAAAATGACCTGTCCAGAATCATTCAGCAGGCCTGTAGCAGAGCCAAGAATCCTGAGAAGCAATCTTCCACTCTAACCACTAGGCCACGGTGCCTCCCTCTTGCAAAAGTGGAGACAATTCAGTCACGATATAGTTGTAGTGCTTTGCAGCAGTAGATCCCAATGTGATTGTGGCAGATGGGAAACTCGGGCATGAGAAGCAAAATGACCTGTCCAGAATCATTCAGCAGGCCTGTAGCAGAGCCAAGAATCCTGAGAAGCAATCTTCCACTCTAACCACTAGGCCACGGTGCCTCCCTCTTGCATTGCAAAGCTCCTTGCATTTGGCTCACCCTTGCTCCATTTCCGAACGGTCAACAGAAAGGTCCAAGAGAGACGTGACACTTGCCTTTCTCTTTCCTTTCGGCGTTACCATTAGGCTAGACAAATGTTCCCTGGAGAGCCCAGACTATGGAAAACTCATGATAGAAATGTAGCCGTGTTAGTCTGGTGTAGCTGAAACAAAAAACAGGACTATGTAGCACTTTAAAGACTAACAAGATGGTTTAATAGGTGATGAGCTATTGTGGGCCAGATCCTTCTGTTCTGAAATTTGATTTGTCCTTTTCTTATGTGTTCACTTTTTTTTAAATTGTATCCTTTGGTATATATGGTTGCGACAATTTTCTTCCACTATTTGATCTGAGGAAGTGGGTCTGGCCCACGAAAACTCATCACCTAATAAACCATCTTGTTAGTCTTTAAAGTGCTACACAGACCTGTATTTTATGGAAAACTCCTGTGACTGTTCGTTCTGTAGGAAGCTCGAACCTCAGCCCAGGAACATGACATGGTGTCAGGAGCAACCTAATGCAAGAGGGGGAATGGTCCCGCTATTGTGGGGAATTTTCCTGGCTTCTGTACTACCCCGGAGAAATGGACCGACGAAAGGATGAGAGTCCCCGCTCCCACTTCCTTTACCCAACGGCCTCCCTGAGCCTGAGGGCTCCCCTTCCAGCCTCCTGAGTAGCAGAGTCCTTGAAATCCCAGCAAGACTGGGCCCAGTTTTCCTGGGACTTAATCCCCGGCCTTGTAGTCACTTGGGGCAGGGGCTAGGGTGTCCCCACTCCGGGGTGCTCTCTGCACACTGCAGGCTTTCTTGACCCACTGATCATTTCATACAGTTCAAAGCAAATACAACGTACTAAACATCAACTGATTAAAGAGAAAAGAATAAGAAAAAAGGAGAAAGGTTAAATGAGAACACACAGCCCTGCTCTGTAGCACGGGGACATCACAAACAGCCGTCTGCAGAGTGTAAGGACAGTTCACAGTCTCTTCCTCATAGGTCCCAGAGCTCTCTCTCAATCCCTGGCTGTGCTGCAAGGGGGCTGCAATCTGGACACGCTTGCGCTGGGAGTGACCACACGGCCTCAGGCTCTCGGTGGCAGGACCCCTCTCCCAGTCTGGCCTGCTGGGCCTCCTGGCTGGTGGCGTCTCCCTGCCCAGAGCCTCTTCCTGCAATGTGTTGGTCCCAGCTGCTCACCACACCCAGCTGCAGGCTGCGCTGCTTTGCCAACCTCCAGCTCTTTGTGTTGCTTCTCTGTCCTCTCTGAGCATGGCCAGTCTGCTGCTCAACACAGGGCCTGCGCTCCTTGGGCTGTGTGCCTGGCTCTATTGCTGCAGGACTGCCCCTCAGCACAGGATCTGGCCTCCCTGCAGGTCCATCTCCCCACACATCTTGCTCTTCTTGCTGCTTTCTCTCTGAGAGACCCAGAAAATCCCAGCTCACACGGAGGACAGGACCCGCCTCTTCAGTTCCTCACTGGCCTGTCCAACCTGTCATTCAGGCCGAGCTGGAGTGTTGGCTGCTTTCCATTGTCTCTGGGGTCTGTCCATCTCAGGGCCCTGATTTCTCATGGACTCTTCCCCTTTTGGTACTGGGAGCTGGCCAATCAAAAACTCCCACTGAGCCAACAGCCCCCTTACACTAAGAACAAATAGGGACGGCAACCAGTAAAAAAAGTTGCAGACAGGAGGACCAATGCAAGGAAGTTTGCAGGATCTCATCCGGATACCACTCTTGAATGCTCCAAAGAACATCAGCTTTGACAAACCTTCACAACCGTCCGGCTGGAAACAATATTTTGCATTGCACAAAGAAACTGGAAATCTGCAGATAGCTTTTTTAAAATGAATGCTGTGAAGACGCAGGCAGAACATGTTTCTGGGGCTATGTCTGGATGCTCTCTTTCGAAAAAGCAGTTTGCATTCCATAGCGCCTTTTTTCAAAAAAGCACTTCTGAAAACAGGCGTTATTTCTCGTGAAACGAGGTTTTCCGTTGTTTCTGGGATCTAGAGCGCGTGGGGAAGCAGAGCATGCCTGGAAAGTGAAACTGAGTATTCTTGGAAACACAACTGACTTTCAAATTAACTTAGGAACTGACATCGCGACCGTCTCACTGGCGTTGCAAAGCTCTGATGGGAAACATTCCAACTGACGAGGCTTAGCGGGAGCAGTGCTGAGACACTAGGGGCTGGGAAGAGGCTGAGGCAAAGGCCCGCGACAGGGCCAGGCAGGAAGAGGTCCGGGGCCACAAGAAGCCACCCTGGGCCCTGAGCAAAGTGTGGGGGGCAGCGCCCACCCCAGAAGGGGCAGGGGCTCAGGAAGAAGGAGTGGGGGAGGGGCAGCCAGCCCTCAGCACCACCCGGACCGTGGGGCACTGTCCATCTCCCTCGGCGCTGCCCGGCCACCTCGGCTGCTACACCAGGCCCCGGGGCAACTGCCCGCTTTGCCCCCTGTCGGCAGGCCTGTCCCAGGATGCCCCACCAGAATGGCTGTGCAGGGGGGCCAAGGAAGGGGGGAGCTTGCTGAGCTGGCCTGCGCCCAGCCAGGAAGGGGTGCACTGTGAAGCCGGTCCCCCAGGCCTGGCGCGATGAAGCTCCTCCCAACAGGTGCTACTTCCTGCCTCTGCAATTGCAATCGCCCCCCATGCTGAAAATACAAGCGTATCCCTGCCCTGGAGGGCGACTCAGGCCTGCTCTAGTGATCCATCCCGTCTAAAGGGAAATTCAGCATTGGTTTGAGTGTCTTCCTGCTGGCTTCCTTGCAGAGCCTCTGTTGTAGGCTGTGTGCTCCAGACCCCTCTCCGCACATGGTCCTTGTTTATGTCTATGAGGGAAATAGAGTCACAGGCACCTTCAGCATTGGTTTGTGTGTCTTCCTGCTCGCTTCCTTTCGGAGCCTTTGTTGTAGGCTGTCTGCTCCAGACCCCTCTCCGCACATGGTCCTTGTTTATGTCTATGAGGGAAATAGAGTCACAGGCACCTTCTGTAGAGCAGTACCACGTGTCGTGAGTACCTTGGACGGCTGCTGCCTTTGCGCCTCCACCCTCCAGTCTCTGCTGTTCCTCCCTGGCTGTATCAAAGGGCTGAGGACACATCTAATCTCCTTCCAGCCCAGGCCTGCTCCTCCTTCTGCACTCCCATTCAGCCTGTCTCAGACTTTGCACAGCCTGTGGCTTCCCCCTTAGACCACTGCCAAAAGTGCTCCCCTGGTTCTCCTTCCCCAAGGCCTTCATTTCCCAGGTAAATCACGAACGTGGCTCGTTAACCTGGAGGCTGTCAAGCCTGCAAGGAAGGCCTATTTCTGGAAATAGCCCCGTCCCGCCCTGCGACCTCTGTCTTCCTCCCCTCCGCTGACGGAGGGTGCATAAAAGCACAGGACTGGAAGCGCCGCTCAGTTGCTCGTTACCACAAACCCGGACTCTAGGCCACGCTAAGATTAGCAATCTAGGCAGGGAGTCCTTGCATCGCTTGGTCATGACGTCATGCAGCGTTTCCCTCACCTGGCTGGGAAGCCCTGGCACACAGATGGCTGTGCGCGGGGTGAACCTGCCTTGCTTTTGGTTTCCAGTTCCCACGCAGCTGCACCAACCTGTGGAGTTTTCTCCTTTGAGTAAAGCAAAACAAGATTTCATTTCATTTTTGCCCTAAACAGTATAAAAGCAAGAGCAATGGAGAAGAGAGGCTGTATCCTTAGACCAGAGGGAGGCCAAGCAACCCTGACGGAGGAGAAGAAACTAAAGCGATTTCCCAGCAAACATGCTCCAAGGTAAGTGCTTCTAAGTCCGGGGCGTCTGCCTAGAATAGGGCTTAATAGACTGATCTGCTCTGATCTGCTCCATAGAGTAAGGAGCAAACATTAGCCTTTCCTCAAAGTTATATACCTTGACTTTAGCAAGGCTTTTGATACGGTCTCCCACAATATTCTTGCCAGCAAGTTAAGGGAATGTGGATTGGATAAATGGACGGTAAGATGGATAGAAAGATGGCTAGAAGACCGGGCGCAATGGGTAGTGATCAACGGCTCGAAGTCAGGATGGCGGTCGGTTTCTAGCGGAGTGCCCCAAGGTTCGGTTCTAGGACCGGTTTTGTTCAATATCTTTATTAATGACCTGGATGAGGGGATGGATTGCACCCTCAGCAAGTTTGTGGATGACACTAAGCTGGGGGGAGAGGTAGATACGCTTAAGGGCAGAGATAGGGTCCAGAGCGACTTAGACAAATTGGAGGATAGGGCCACAAGAAATCTGATAAGGTTCAACAAGGACAAGTGCAGAGTCCTGCACTTGGAACGGAAGAATCCCAAGCATAGTTACAAGCTGGGGACCAACCAGTTAAGTAGTAGTTCTGCAGAAAAGGACCTGGGGGTTACAGTGGATAATAACCTGGATATGAGTCAACAGTGTGCCCTTGCAGCCAAGAAGGCTAATGGCATATGAGGTTGCATTAAGAGGAGCATTGCCAGCAGATCCAGAGATTTCATCATTCCCCTTTATTCGGCTTTGGTGAGGCCACATCTGGAGTATTGTGTCCAGTTCTGGGCCCCCCACTACAAAAAGGATATGGATTCACTGGAGAGGGTCCAGCGGAGGGCAACCAAAATGATTAGGGGGCTGGCGCATATGACTTATGAGGAGAGGCTGAGGGACTGGGCTCTGTTTAGTCTGCAGAAGCGAAGAGTGAGGGGGGATTTGATGCAGCCTTCAGCTTCCTGAAGGGAGCTTCCAAAGAGGCTGGAGAGTGGCTGCTCTCAGTAGTGACAGATGGCAGAACAAGGAGCAATGATCTCAAGTTGTGGTGGGAGAGGTCCAGGTTGGATATTAAGAAAAACTATTTCACTAGGAGGGTAGTGAAGCGCTGGAATGGGTTACCTAGGGAAGTAGTGGAGTCTCCATCCCTAGAGGTGTTTAAGTCTCGGCTTGACAAAGCCCTGGCCGGGTTGATTTAGTTGGGATTGGTCCTGCGTGGAGCAGGGGGCTGGACTTGACGACCTTCTGAGGTCACTTCCAGTTCTATGGTTCTATGATTCTATGAAAGTATGGTACCACTTTCTTTTATTACTAGTGCGTGGAGGGTTGTCATGTAAGAGGTCTGATCCGAAAACATTTGCAAATAGAAGAGTTGCGTTTGCTCGGCTGTGATCTCTGTGGTCAACCCCTCACCCTCAAAGCGATTGTTGCTCTGATCTTCCTGCATCCCTACTTGCCCCCTATGTCAGACTCTCAAAATGTCATGTGTCGTCCATGTAACCTGGAAATGCGGTGACGTGTCATTTCCTTTTCTGACTCGATTAGGAAAAAGGATGCACAGAAGTTGCCCACTTCTCCTTGTCCTGATGGTATGGACAATGGCTACCGAGATCTTTCCCCAAGATGCTCAGAAGTGCAACCTCTCAAAGTACGGGAACCTGCCACCCACGGACCTGAAGGCTTTCAAGGATTTCCGAGATCACTTTGTAAGTGCAAAGGAGACACATAAGTGGAATAAATAGCGAGGTGAATCCTCGGCTGTAGTCTCAGCAGCGGCCTTCTCTCTAGAGTATGATGGGCAGGTGAAATAAGGGTGGGTGGATGTTTGGGTTGTGGAATAAAATGGAGAGAAGTCTTGGCCTCTGCATCTTCTTCATTGGGGATCCCTCATTACGTCTTAGCTAACAAAGGAAAAACCTCCAAATATTCAGTTCTGGCAAGTATTCGGATAGTTTGGGAATGAGTATCCCGGAAAAGCTCTGCTGCGTACCAGGAACGCAGTCGAATGAAAAGGAGGCCAGCTGTCAGTTAAACTCTGCACGCTTGCTGTTCAGAGCCAGACAGCAGCAAAGCAATATGAGCAGCGTGTGTAATCGTCACCTGTCCCATCTTTGGCACCTTCTTGGAAAGAGCCAGGACTCTTGTGCAGCAGCATTCTTAGGGGATCAAGCTGTTGAGTAAAACGCTGCCATGACGTTGCACCTTTGCTTGCCTTAATGGGGTTGTATGAGGTGACCGAGAGCAGAATTGGGTAACGTCTCACCTGTCTTGCTGGCTTTCTACATTTCCCTGTCTTCTCATTTTGTGCCTCCAGGAGACAAGCATGCCAGACCGAACCTGCAACACCACCGTTTTCCACCGCAAGTGGGAAGTCAAAGTTCTGTCGGTAAGAATGACCTCTACCAAGAGAGACGAAGCTATGAAATAAGAGTTGCCTCTTTCCAAAGGCTTGGGACTGTCTCTTCTCTAAGCTGGATTCTGATTTCAGCTGGTCGCTGTGTAGCTCCACAGGGACATCGTTACAGACAAGGAATTTATTCCCAAGTGACAAAGTCAGCTCAGATTGGGATCTGCACCTTTTTCTCTATAATTAGCATATTCTTAGGGCTGGAAAGCCTGACGAACATTGCAACTGTGGATCAGTTTAAAAAGTGCTGCATAATATGTAGGGCAGAACGCAAACGTGTGGAAAAGAATGGCAGGAGACCACACAATATACTGTCTGGCTTCAGATGTTATCAGATGATTGAATGAGGAAACAATTTACATCTCAACATTTCTAGCTTGGCCCTGAAAACACTGACCCCGGTTAATACAAGCCAAGACACTAACCTTATCCCTAGTGCTTGACAGCCCAGAGGCGTTATTACAGCTGACTCGTCTGCGCCTGTCTTTATCTTCTATTTCCAGACTGAGCTTTGTTAACTCCCCTCACATAGCCAGATTCAGGTGGTGTGGCAGGAAACCCTTTGTTTCCGTATTTTGGTTTTCCCTCGAGAGAATATTTCAGTTCTCTAAAACCATATCCATGTCTGTGCATGGCCGCTTTGAAGATCCAGAAACCGCTCCCCAAGTCACCAGGGAGGGGTTGGGGGAAATCTTGTGCTGCCGAAATACATCTTCAGATTGTTGTAACATCGAAAAGATTTGAGCCTGATCTGGAGCACACAAGGGGGTGGATTCCAAGGAAGGACATGAACGTGAAGACAAACAGAAAATAAAATTGTGGTGTAAGCAGCCGTGTCCGAAGGTAGAAGACTCACAGGCTGTGTGTACAAAGTGGATTCACACCTCCCTGGTGTCTTAGGTCTCTTCCCATTGGCAGTGGTTTGGGAAAGGCTCCTTAAGCCTGCCACTGCTAACACAGACATTCTTATCAACGTGCTGTATCTGCCATTCCCCTGGACAGCCTGTTTTACCTCCATGGTGTCTCCCCAGGTTAACGACAGAGTAATCCTGGTAGAGGAGGAGCTGAACTTCACTATCCACATCCTGGAGAATGTTGAGGATGCCACGCTGTCCGAGAACCTTATGAGGCCATTAGAAAACCTGAGGCACATCAGAGAGGACTTGGGGAATTGCGTGAGTATTGGCTTG